TCTGCCTCCCATTCTACTTTTAGAAATTCTAGGAACCACTAGTAAACCTGCAGATTGAGAGCGAAGTGCTCTGTTAGGAACATAAGGAACAATCAGATCTCTGATATAAGATGGTGCTTGGCCATTTAAGGCTTTATATGTGAGAAGGAGGATTTTAAATTCTATTCTTGATTTAACAGGAAGCCAATGAAGAGAAGCCAGGATAGGCGAGATATGATCTCTCTTTTTAATTTTCATTAGAACTCTGGCTGCAGCATTTTGGATCAGCTGAAGGCTTTTAACTACAGTTTGTGGACTTCCTGATAGTAAAGAATTACAATAGTCCAGCCTTGAAGTAACAAATGCATGGACTAGTTTCTCAGCATCACCCCTGGACAGGAGATTTCTAATTTTTGCAATGTTCCTCAGATGAAAGAAGGAAATTCTAGAAACCTCTTTGATATGGGATTTAAATGACAGGTCCTGATCAAAAATAACACCAAGATTTTTTACTTTATTATCTGAAATCAGTTTAATCCCATCCAAATGAAGTGACTGGCTAATCAGTTTCTTTTTCAGAGACTCTGGTCCAAAGACTATAACTTCTGTTTTGTCTGCATTCAGAAGCAGAAAGTTAAGAGTCATCCAGGTTTTTATGTCTTCAAGACATGCCTGTAATCTATGTAATGGGTTAGCTTCATCTGGATTTATAGACAGATATAGCTGGGTATCATCAGCATAACAGTGGAAATTAATCCCATGCTGTCTAATAATTCTACCAATTGGGAGCATGTATAAAGTAAAGAGAATTGGTCCTAGCACTGATCCCTGTGGTACTCCACAGGTAACCTTTGAGCGTGTTGAAGATCTATCATTAACATGAACAAACTGAATTCGATCAGATAGATAAGATTTAAACCAGTCTAGTGCTGTTCCTTTAATTCCAACAAAATATTCAAGTCTTTCTAAAAGAATATTATGATCAACTGTATCAAATGCAGCACTAAGATCCAACAGGACGAGCACAGATACAAGTCCATTATCTGAGGCCATGAGAATATCATTAGTGACTTTCACCAGAGCTGTTTCAGTGCTATGATGAGCTCTAAAGCCAGACTGAAACTCTTCAAAAAGTTCATTATGGTGGAAGTGATCGCAAACTTGTTTGGCAACTACTTTCTCAAGAATTTTGGATAAGAAAGGAAGATTGGATATAGGTCTATAATTGACCAAGTCATCTGGGTCAAGAGACGGTTTCTTAAGCAGAGGTTTAATTACAGCAACCTTAAAAGCTTTAGGTATATATCCCTGTAACAGAGATAGATTAGTCACATCTAAAATGGAGGAGGAGATCAAAGGGAATACCTCCTTAAATAACCTGGTTGGAACTGGATCTAACATACAAGTTGAAGGCTTAGATGAAGACAATAATTTTGCTAATTCAGAGAGTTCAACTGGATCAAAGCAGTCTAAACCCGGTTCAGATTCCATGACTACCTCAGGTACAATCGCGGATAGAGGAGTGCTTATGATCTTATTTTTAATAAGATCAATCTTATTTATAAAGAATCCCATAAAATCATTGCTGCTAAGAGCAGGTGGAATGGACGGTTCAACAGAGCTATGGCTCTGGGTGAGTTTGGCAACTGTATTAAAAAGAAATCTAGGATTATTCTTATTCTCCTCTATTAATGAGGAGAAGTATGCTGCTCTTGCTTTACAAAGGGTCCTCTTATACAGCAGTAAACCATTTTTCCAGACTAGAAAGGACTCTCGCAGGCCTGTGGAGCGATATTTTCTCTCCAGTTTCCTAGCATTTTGCTTCAAAGTACGCAGCTCTGCATTAAACCAAGGAGCAAGCTTTCTATTTTTAACGGTTTTTATTTTCAAAGGAGCTGCGTTGTCTAAGGCAATACGCAGAGAACTAGCAACCCCATCAACAAAATCATCAACCTGTGAAGGGGAATAAGCTAAGCTTTTGCACTCTGCAGCACTGCTCAGTGACACAGAGGAGAGAGAAAGTGAAGCAGATTCTTTAAAATTTATAACTGCACTATCTGATAAAGATCTACTAAAATTGAACCTTCTTTTGGGGGAGGAGAACTCTGTTAAAGTAATCCTGAAGGTTATTAGAAAGTGGTCAGAGAGGACAGGGTTGTGAGGAAATACTGTTATTTATTCACATTCTATGCCGTATGTCAGCACAAGATCCAAAGTATGAAGATGAGAATGCGTGGGACTATTCACATTTTGAACAAAGCCAATAGTGTCTAAGATAGCATTAAAGGCTGCTCTTAAGCTATCGCCTTCAATGTCAGCATGGATGTTAAAATCTCCCACTATGATGACCCTGTCAGTATTTAATACCAAATCAGAAAGGAACTCTGAAAACTCATCTAAAAATTCAGAGTAAGGACCTGGTGGACGATACAAAGTTACAAAAAGAAGAGGTTTTCTTGCCTTGAAATTTGGATCAGGGAAATTAAGGGTTAAATGTTCAAAAGAGTTGTAGGTATTAATTGTTTTGGGAGTAATCAGTAAGTCAGACTGGAAGATTGTTGCTACTCCTCTGGGCAAGTACTGGGCAAGTAAAAACTGTTTCTGGACAAATTAAATGTGAATAAAAATCCTTAACGTCAACACCTGTACTTGGTATAATTACTCTAAATTCAAATCTTGGTAAAACTATATAAAAAGTGTAATTATGCTTATTAGTGTAATTATGCTATAAATGTACAGTCATAGCATAATTACACTAAATTACTAAGATAAATCCATGTTTGATGTTGCTGTTTGAATCCATCATTTTCACTGTTTCCAAGAGGGCCAGTATGTTAAACCATGTTATTAGTTACACAGATCCTTGCTTTCAGTTATTTGCATTGTTTCTGATCTGCTCAGTTTGTATATCAGGGCTAAACTAGGCAGGTTTCACTATTTGTTTTTTACCAACTCTGAAAGTTGTTGTTTTTTACACACTTATTGCACTGTGAGGGGCCGAGCCAAAAAAATCTGAGAAGCACAGGCAGAGATGGCAAAAGTACTCACTTTCCGTACTTGAGTAAAAGTACAGATACTTGTGTTAAAAAATACTCTGGTAAAAGTGGAAGTACTGATTAAACTTCTTTACTCAAGTAAAAGTAACAAAGTACAGGCTTGTAAATTTACTTAAAGTATAAAAGTAAAAGTAGAAACCACTTTCTTCATGCCGTTGCCTACATTTTAAATGGATGTCTGCCAATAGGCCTAGATCTCCGTTGTGTTCATTTTCAATCATCTCGTCGTCCATGCTACTATGCTAACGCCACCGCCACCAAGCTGCAATGATTTGCCGCAAATGAATACCGCCGAATCTGTCGATTCATCTTGTAGCGGTGCGTCAAATGCAACGTAGATTCCCATCCAATTAGACTGAATTTGGTATTGATGACGTGAAAAATAATAACGGTAACTCCATTGAAATGATTCAAAACTAAAGTAATGAGCCAATTTTTTAAAATGTAAGGAGTAGAAAGTACAGGTATTTGTGTAAAAATGTAAGGAGTAGAAGTAAAAAGTAGTAAAGTAAAGTAAAAATATCAGAAAAATCTACTTGAGTACAGTAACGAAGTATTTGTACTTCGTTACTTCCCATCTCTGAGCACAGGGAAGTCTTGATGAAAAAATGGTAACTAAAGGGAAACATATATTATACTGGTCGATCAGACCATTTTGAAACAAGAGGGAAACATAAAATATATTTTCCTAAAGAAAACTACAACAAAAGACCAAACTAATCAGCATCATACTCAATCAGCAACCTATGATCAAGAGGACTTAAATATTAAACTTTCCAAATGTTATTATAGAAAACAAAACCAAATACAGAAACCTAAACCCTTTCTACACCCCTTCTAAATGTAAGTGGAAGAGTCCAACTAGGCCTCCATATCAATGAGGAGATCCTTTGCAGCTGGGGTCTCCTTTCCTTTACTGGCTTTACTCATGACAGCCTGCCAGGAACTGACAACTCAAATGAAAAATATATTAATGTACAGAAACCAAACAAGCAAGAAATGACTAAATGAGTCAACTAAAAGTGTGCACCCAGATAGTTAACCAATGCCAAATCAAAGTAGAATAAAAGGAAATACAGTACAATAAAATAGAAGATTTAATGAAAGAATTACCAGACCATTTGTGTGGTTGTACATGCAGCCATCACATGCACAATTGTTTCATTTGTCTTCAAACCAGCTGCAATTAAATTTTTTTTAGCCTGGATTATTAACCTTTTTATTAGTGTTGTCACTATACTAAACTTTTCAACTCGATACCATTTTCGATACCACAAGGATAAAAACAAAGACTCTAAAATTCAACAGAAATATTTTCATTACTAAAAAAGTACAAGAAATAAATAAAACAATAAGAATAATATTTTGAGGTTGTATGCTGTGCACAATATTAAGCAAGCTTGATAAAAAACTTACAAAATTTAAATTAAGTGTTCCTTCCTAGCTATGCTTTGCAGATGTTTTTCAGTCTGAAACTGAAAAATGCACAGAATTATTCAATCACACAGTGTTCAGAAAGTGCATTTTCCACTATTTTGCACTTTAGATGGCTGTATCGATACTTTTGAAAATGAGTATTGTATCCGGATACAACGTTTCAGTATCGATACTTTTTTTGAGTATCGATACTTTTGACAACCCTACTTTTTATTAATAACCACACAGTCATTTCTTTTTTTAAATAATTAAAATCTTTTTTCTTCTTATGCTGTACAGTTCAACTTTTAAAATGGTTATCTTTATCTTATTATTCAACTTCGAGGCTCTCCTTTTTCCACTTGTGTTTGTCGCTGTCGAGTTTATTCGTATTTTACTGCGCCTCATGTTTTTTTTTTTTTTTTATTGCGTAAAGTGTTTGAATATAAATGTAATGATTGTAGCTGACATAAGAGCTCTGCACCAAATAGACCAAAGGAGAGTCTCTACATGCAGCAGTGACCTCATTACACACTGTGTTTCCTTCAGTGCTTGATGAATGGACCCGACTTAACTGCACTGGTGAAGCTGCACCAGAAGAGCTGGAGCAGCATTCTATGGTGGCTAATAAGGTATAAAATTCTTCATTTTGAATAAATGCAAACACTTTATTCCTGTATAGCATGAAAACATTGAAAAATATTGGTCTCCCTGTTTCTGTCTGTCCTCTTCAGGGTTTCCTCTATGTGTTTGGAGGCATGTTGGATTCTGCATACACTTGGAGGAAGTGCCCCCTCTGGGTGTTTGAGACCAGTAAGTTTGACTCTATTTACATTACATTTCTTCATCAACTGACTAAACAGACACATCTTAAACATCACTTTGTGATAAACTTAGTGTGACTGCTGGTGATTTACACAACCCACCCTCCAAACAAGGCCAGAAACTACTGGGTCTGTAAATGGACCAAAGTCCCAGGAAGGTAAAGCTGTGAAAAGGTGAATTTTCCCCAGTAAATATGAATGGAAACGCTTCTCTGGCTTTTAAAAGCCTCAGGCATAAAGATGCTACAGCAGTTAATCCTCAGCCTGTCAACTTGTCCACACATGCTGGCTGTTGCCTTGAAACACCTGAAAATATTCATCCCTACGCAAACCCGCGCGGTAGAGCATACAGCTGATTTAATTTAATGTAGAAAGGGCTGTTTCTATCAAAAAGATTTAAAATCTCTTGCCAGTGAAACAGAAGCTAGAAAGGGGTCGTTTAATGGAGGATCATTAAGCAGGAAGCTGCTTTCTGCAGCGTTTTGGTTCCTGTGTTTGTTGTTGTTGGCTGTTGAGACGTTAGCACCTTCAGGTCGTAGCATAACTTTGCAGATTTTAACATCTATACGGATGTATTTCCTCTTAGCCAACAGTCTGCATTGTACCTTAAATTAAAGGCTAAGTCTTTTTTGTGTTGCTCAAAATATTTACTCTATTTTCTGGGTTTTGAAAAGCTCATAAAACTGACTTTCTCAAAGCAGCCTCATCCAGGAGGTTTTTTAACTAGAAATCCCAAGGCCGTCATTTTGGCAGTTCTGAGATTTTAAAGGGAAGGAACTTAATTAACATTAATCATTTGTTGCTCATGTTAACTGACTTTTCCTGATTGTATATTTCCTTTATTTCACGTTTTTTTTTTATTTAATAAAAACGTTTAAAAAAATATGGTTCATTTTACCTCGATCTCCCACAGCCGTCATTTTGACAGCTCTATTAGTTGCATTGTAAATTCTTCCCGCGGTTGATTGACATTTGGCACCGTTGCCTAGCAACCAACATTCTACCTAGAAATCTTTGGCTAATATGGAAAAAAATTCAGAAAAAAAACTAACCTCAAAACAGGATTTAGAAATGCTTCAGAATATTGATGATAGGGATTCAGGCAGAGAGGGAGAGACTGATGAGAAGGACGCAGATTTCAACAGCGAGTCCGAGGATGAACAATGCGAAGGCCGCTTGTTGCTCCTGGACATAACAGCTATAACGCGTTGGTTTTGTTCGGGTGCTGTTTGAACATCATGCAATCTTTTTTTTTATTTTTAAAGTGTCCTGTCTGGTAATGTGGCAATAAGAATAATTGTCTTGATGCCAAAAAGAGCCCAACAGATTTTACTTTCTCAAGTGTAGCAGTATGGCAATGGACATATTGCTCCACTTGTTTCATGCATATAAATTGCTTTATTATAATTATGCAGGGAGTTTTACAGTTTATATGGACACTGCAATGTAAATAGAGCAGAAAAACAGAAGAAGAAAAAGGAAAAAAGAAAAAAAAAGAGAAAAGATGAAAGAAAGAAGAGATAGAAAGGAGACAATGACAAAACATTTTCAGTCTGCTTCATAACCTGCAACGAGATGAAAAAAGAACAGCACAACCGAAAGACATGGTACGAGACATACAATAAAGCAACACCTTGAAACTATCGCTAAAGTAATATTATTAAGTCTGACATGTACTCTGTGTTACCTGAAGATATGTACCTGAAGATATGAACATCATGCAATCTTATGCAGAGATTTTATCCTTGAACTGGAGAAACCGTTGCGTGTCAACCGCAGGTTACCAACCCCTCCACCACTGAAAAGCAGCTTTGGAGAGACAAAGAAAACAGTGCCAGGTGCTTCAGCGCTGCAAAAAAAAAATAAAAAATGCTCATATGACGTTTGTCATTAATGTGAAAAGGTGGTGTCCAGGAAATGTTCGTGGATAATCAATCACTTACTGTAAATAAAATTATAATTTCAAACTTCAAACCTGTGTGGTAAAACAGTCTTATTTATTTTAATGATTTATTTTTAATACAAATTTAGGCCACAAATAATAATAACATACAATACAGCTTTTAAAAAATATATATTAGACCCGTTTTAAGATCTACATATCCATAACGAGTTTACTGTATATCGCACACTACAACCATTTCAGTTGGTGACATCATCACTACTCTTGCATTCAGAGTTCCTGCGGGTCCTTAAAAAGTCTTAAAAGGCATTGAATTCTTCAAAATAAAACTAAGGCCTTAATAGGGGGTTTTCAGTGACGTCACTGGCCAGCTTCCGGTCAGCCATCTTGGGTGGCATATTATTGTATATCATATATATCATGTCGCGAATGGATAAGTACGCCAGCACCCTAGAGCCACCAGATTATGGAACATATCTGAGGAAATGTTCCGTGATCGACCATATGGACCCCTTTGCCCTCCACGGTGCCTTGTTTAGCACTAATCCAGATGATTGGCCAAATGTAGAGCACAGCGACATAGTTCATTACCTGGTTTTCAGTGAAAACCATCTGCACACTCTTGAGGAAATGAGAGCGTACAAGGGTCTAGAGGCTAACAACCAGTTCACATCTGGTTGGGTACGAGATGTCGAAGTGATGTACATGAAGGAAATCGCCATCATACGTGGACGGGTGAGTTTTAATAAGATGGTAAAAATGTAAACAATCCGACGCAGGGCTCGCTATGCTAGGTGGCTAACGGCCGGCGGTGCGCGAACAGTTCCAAAGCTACAAGTCCTTGGAGTCTCATGTGCAGTTTACGATTGGATGAGTTCGCGAGCTGCAGCTCATAAAGCCAGCAAACAGTGCTAACCGTTAGTGCTAACAACCACTCAGGCATGTAATGTACTTTTAACTAGCTGCTATGTGTTTCAAAGGTTTGGTTAGTAACGTTAACTGCCAAACCTCCCTAAACCCTCCGGGTTTCTCACATATTTGAGCCTTTTCCCGCTGGTTGAAATCAAGTTAAGGTGAAATTAATCAAATTAAAACATGGCTGAGAGAGGGAGTCCAGTACGCGGTAGTCATAGGCAGTAGTCTGAGTAGCGGCGGCGGAGGCAGTCAACATTGCGGCCACGGAAAATAATACGTCATGACGCCCAAGCCCTATTATTAATATATTCTTATATGTTTTAAATGCTTGACAGTTAATTACCTGTGACAAAGTGAGCACTGCAGACTCTGGCGTATTCCAGCTTAACACCGTCCAAATCGGACCTGGATATCCGTGTCAGCCATAGGTGGCGGCGTTGTTCAGATAGCTGTTTTGTTTTTTCACATTGTTTCACGATTACGGCTGGTATGCGATAGAAAGAGCATTGATCTCCACCTCCACGGGCCGTGCAACCAACAATTACACACGTTTTCACCATTTTTCACTGTCAATACTGCCTAAGGCTGCCACCCAATATGGCGGACGCACTGAGTAGTCACGTGAGCGTGACGTCACCTGAAAACCCCCTGTTGGTATTAAAATGTCTTAAATCAGTCTTTCATAGGTCTTCATTTTTTAAACATCATAAATAGGATTATTTTTATTACGATTTATTTTTGTGATCTAAATAAAACATTAAAATTTAATTTTATTTTTTTGTTTTATAAAAAAATAACGGCTTGCCATTATTGGTTCAGTCCCGATAGCGGAACTTATACAAGCGTTGTTGCGGCCGGGACATTTGGGAGATGCGCCATTAACTTTTTGTCTGGAAAATATGAGCAAGTGTAAATGTAACCAAAATTGTCTCCAGCCAAGAGTTTTCTCCATGGCTAAAACCAGGGAACATACATGAGGCTCAGTGGATTTAGTGCAAGAAGTCATTCAAGCTCAGAACGATGGGAATTAAGGCAGTGGAGTCGCACATGCGAAGCGTGAAACACAAAGCGTCAAAATGGAGTTACAGAGAAACAGCCGGTATTTCTCAGTTTAGTTCCACCCTTGTCTCTGCAACGCCTCCACTTATCACCAAATCAAACATACTAAGAAAACCGTACGAAGAAAAATAGCTGCAAAAAAGACTTAGCACTGGTTATGTTGGGGCTTTAAAACTGATTTGTTTTGTTCCCTGCTAAAACAAAGTTTGTGAATTCAGTTAAATAATTGTTAAATATATATTTTAGCTTTCTTCCTGTATGGGAAGCTTTTCAAAATTTGAAACATTAGTGCAGTGGTTTATGGTAAAATAAACCTTTGGGTCAAGTTGTCGCAAGCAGGTTTTTCTTGTGAATATGGCCTTATATTTGTATTTCAAGTGGCATTAAAAAGTCTTAAAAAATCTTGAATTTAATTTGCCTTATGCTGTAGGAACCCTTTGCATTCCATTGGGAAAAATGTCGACCATCAAATAGACGGCCAGTGGGAGTTCTAGTAGCATCAGAATTCTGTGAGTCCTGATGCTAAAGTCTGTTGCTTTATTTTTTCTTTGTGTTCTAGTGAATCAGAAGTGGGTGTCCTGCCAGGGAAGGACCAGCTGCCCTCAGGTAAACGCCACCTTGGCCATCATACCAATACAGTAAAACCTCCTGAGTGCTCGCAGCTTTCTTCTACAGAGGAAGACTGAAAAGTGCTTTTTAATTTTTCATAGATCAATTAATCACCCTTTATTGATTGATTTTATTATTACAGACTCAAGGTCCAATATACATTAAAAGAAAACAGATACACTAAGAATAAAAAAAGAATAAAAGTACAACAGAGAAGGTCCCTACCCCTTCAGGAGGCAATTATACCAATGTCTCAAAAGCACAGATGAATATTTAACTGAACTATATTTTACATTGGTCATCAGTAAAATAATTATATTTTCAGACTCATTTAGACGACAAATAAATTTATACATAAGCTTTCTCAAAACAGCCATAAAAGTCCTGATACTAACAGATACAAACAATTCACTGGCACTGGTCCATCTGGGCTTATTTAACAAAATTCTTATTTAACAAAAGCCACCTTCAACTTATGAAGACTGGCTTTTTTAAAGTTGCACCACAAATGTGCCGTATACAGTGATGTGCAATATGATCTGAACAAGTTCAGTTTCACTTCGTCAGAACAGAATCCAAACTTCCGGACAAGGATATTTGCCTGAGCGTATATCATACGGACCTGACGGCAAATGTCCTTTACTTTTACTACATTAATACAATAGTAAAGAAATTACATATAAAATTATTTTTAGTAAATTACATACAAACTAAAGGTTTCCAGTTTCTCTAACTATACAGAACTGAAAGCAGAGGGCTGTTTCATTTGATCACTTTTCAAAATAGTGAACATTCTGCTCAGGAAAGGAGGATGGAAGCTGATATGCCTGAAAATACAATAACTACTAGCTTAAGTTAGCCCACATCTACAGTCAGAATAAAAATGTATAAAGAATTTATCTAAATGAGCAACATGATGCATGAAATGCATCAAAGAAAGAATCTCTGGTGTAATTTTACTCTCAAAACGCTATCAGTTCGTTATCAGCAGATCAATATCATATATATCAGCCTGCATCTCCAATCTCTGATATAGGTAAGGTGATTAAATAATTTGCTTCTGTTAAAAATGTAGGTTAATAAAACATGTCATGTTAGTAAATAAATGTCCTGGAATTTACTGGAAAAAATAGAAATCTAGATAAGTTATTTTTTCTTAAAATAAGTGCATGTGTTCTTGGATTGAGGAGGTAAAAGAGACATCTTGTCAACTGAACAAGACAATTTTCACTTAAAATAAAAAAAACACAGGTTCATTGTCTTATTTCAAGTGAATATTATCTAATTATCTTATTTTAAGAGTAAAAATGCTAATTCCATTGGCTAACTATCTCATTAACCTACACAAATTAAGGGTAAATACACTTGATTTAACACATTTTTATTGTTTTTCCAGTGTTGGGTTTTTATTTACTTTTTCTATTTTTATTTGTCTAAGCAGAACAGTTGAAAGTGGCTCATCTGGATATATTTATTCCTTGATATCTCATCAAATGTTCCCTGTGCTTTAATGTCTGCTGATGTTTGTGTTTGCAGAGCCAAAGGCCGAGCAATCGGAAAGGACACAGCGCCGTGGTGCTGGGATCGGCCATGCTGGTCTACGGAGGATTCATGGACCTTAAAGGAACCTCGCAGGAGTTTTGGAGTTTAAATCTCAGTGAGATTATTTCAGGTTTTATTGGCAGGTTTAGAAAAAAAAATGACTCAATTACAACTGTGTTAGTAAAGAAAAGAAAAGAAAATGGAAATTGATTAAGTCGGCTTGTCTCCAGGTTTTTCTCAGTAAATTTCAATTAAAAACTGCTGAACTTTTTTGATTTAAAACACATTCTTGTCCTTGGTTTTAGAGGTCAGTGGAGTTTAGCTGATTTCAAACAGACTTTTTGAGACTGCAGACTTGATGCTGAGAAGAACATCGGTGTTTCGTTGATCAGTTTTTGTCTCTGACAGATTCCATGACTTGGACTCGGCTGACTGGTTCTGAGCGGGGATCATCAGGTCCTGGACCCAGACACAGTCACTCCGCCGTGGCCTACAGGGACTCCATGTTTCTGTTTGGAGGACTGAAAGGTCTGCGGGAGCAGAGAGACTTCTGGAAATGGGATTCCACCAACCACACCTGGACCTCCCTCAGGTCAGTACCGGGTGGTTAGCTGATAGATAACAGACCACCATCATCCCGGTCTCTGGATAAAACCCTCATTAAACGGGAAACGATTACTGACTCAATAATCAGAAAAGGGAAATTAACATTAAAAATGTATTCACTATTTTGACTATTTCCATATTTATTTAATAAAATATTGAAATATCTTTAAAACTATTTTATCTAACCTTTGACCCGAGCATTAGTTCACTTTGAGAGACATTAAAGAGGTTCAATCACAACACGTCATCTCAAGGCACTTTACAGTTCACCAGATCATCCAGTCAAATTGATTAAAAGTTTTTTATCTAAGGAAAAAACAGTTCACACTAAGCATGCTTGTAGCGACAGTGGAGAGGAAAAACTCCCTTTTAACAGGAAGAAACCTCAGCAGAACCAGGCTCAGTGTGAGCGGCCATCTGCTGAGGCCGACTGGGGTTCAAGGAGACAGAAGCAGAGATACAAAAGGCAACTGTTAAAGGCGACCCCGTCCAGGAAACACACAGCCAGGCAGACGAGCTCCGAGCCAGCTCCCATGTCAGAGGATGAAGAGAGAACATCCAGTCACAGTCAGAGAAACAGGACTACACTGATAAACAGGCAGCATCACAGCTGTTATTTCTCTCCAGGATGGTGTCGCAGCCAAATGGGAACAGCCTGGATGAAGGTACTATGAGTAAAAGCAGAGAGAGCAGAACGTTAGAGATTGAACTAACAGATTCTGTAGAGTGGGAGAATAGAGATAGAATGAAGCAGAATGATAAAATGGGGGTCCCTACGTCCTCCAGCAGTCTAAGCCTATAGCAGCATAACTATAGAGATAGCTCAGGATAACCTGAGCCACTTTTACTCTAAGTTTTAAGCTAACCCTTAAAAGTAGACAGGGTGTCTGACTCATGGACTAAAACTGGTAGTTGGTTACGCAGGAGGGGAGCCTGTGGGACCAATTCTATTTTTAGAAATTCTAGGAACCACTAATAAACCTGCAAATTGAGAGCGCAGTGCTCTATTCGAAACATAAGGAACAATCAGATCTCTGATATAAGATGGTTGTTATCAGCGCATGAGCTCTTCTCTAAAACTCGTCTATTTAACTTTAGATCTGGGTCATGTGACCCAGAGCCACAGCTAACCCAAGCTTGTTAGTCAATAAAACTGATCCGACATATTTCTGGTTCTCTGATGTAGGATTTCATCTCAAGGCTGAATTTTAACTCATCTTTTCCAGAAACTCCATAACGTCTCCATCTTGTGGCCCACAGGGCTCCGTTATCAGATTCCATAATAGAGAGAAGCTGCTTCATTTGCAGCAGTAGTCAGTTGCTTTCAAGGGGGGGTTACAACTCGAAGTCTATCACCCCCTAAAGGCCAGAGGTTACAGTATAGATTTAACAGAGGTGCTGTTTCTTCTCCAACTAACAGCTGGTCTGCTCGTGTTCTGCAGGCAGGGCCCCCCTCGGCTGATGGGCCACGCGGCTGTGACCTACAGAGACAGTATGCTGCTTTTCGGAGGCGGTGAGAGCCAGAAATCACCAAACAACAGCCTGTGGAGGTACAGCTTCCCCTCTCAGAGCTGGAGCCAGGTGGCCTCCCTCCCACACAGCGACGCCCCACAGAGGATTCACCACTGCTGCACCGGACTGGGTCGCAGCTACGAGTCCGATGGCGTCCAGGCCGCTCTGTCATCACAACAGGATGCTAAACCGCGACATTTTAAAAATAAATGCTTCCCCATTTCCCAATCAGACATAGAAATGAAGACATTCAGCAAAGGTCTTTGTTCTTCAGAGACCATCTTTGACACAGAGAAGAACTGTCTGACGTTTGAGAACAGAGCTTTTAAGAAGCAGTGGAGCTGCTCAGACGACCAGGACATTTCCAAGAATCTGCCTGACATGCTGCTGGTGCTGGGAGGAAAACCGTTCAGCATAAAGAGTCCCATCTCCATCTGGAGTATGACCCTGACTGACTCTTAACAGACGGTTGACTTGAAGGTTTACTTACAACCAGTGTTGCCCCCCCCCCCCCCCCCCCCCCCCCCGCCCGATGATACAACTTGTACATAAGAGTATATAAAGATGTTTCACATCTACCACATTTTCTGAGTAATCTTTAAGCATTTATTTTACCTTTTGGAGTTTTAAAAAACATTTAGTTATTGAAGTATTGACATTTCAAGACAGATTTCTGGTATTAGTCCTGGAGAAAAATAGCCAGTGTGGGTCATCAGTAAGATTCAAACAACAAAATCTCTTTGCCAATATTTAAATTGGAACCTAAATTCTCATCTGTGACATTAGACATTTTTCTTTTTTTCTCAGACCAAAAAACTCCTCATCTTGAAAAGAACAAAAAGGTGTGATGTTTTTCCAAAAGAGGGCGCCAAAGCTCCAGAAAAGGTGCCTCTGCTCCAGAAAAGCTTCAGTAAATTGTTTAGTGGCGTCCTCTCCATTTCATCAGGTTCTGTGGGAGACGAGATTATTCAGAAATAGTCTAAACCGTGGAGGATACCAGGCTCTAAAGACCAACTCTGACTTTTTTTATTATTATTATTCACCTCAGTAAATATATAGAACATTAAAAAAAAGATAAATAACTTAAAGGAATAGTACACCCAAAACATGTTTAGGCTTCATTTTCTACTCACCCCCATGCTGAGCAACACTCTGGAGTACTTTTTTGATATCTCAAATGCATCTGGAGATCTGGGAGGCTTCTTGCTGTCTGCTGACATTCAAATAATGGAGGTCTATGGCGCCCGAGACAGAAAGGTCCATAAAAGTCCACAAAAAACGCATCAATATTCCTCCATACTGCTCGTCCAATGTATTCCAAGTGTCCTGAGTGGGTAGCGTCCATAATTTACTCGAAACGAAGTCATTTAGAATGTTTTTAGAGCATAAACAGTAGTGTATAGGATTTTCTAAAAGCGAGTTCACGAGTCTACGGAAACCGCGGCAGACCAAACCAGATGAAAGTGCGCATTCAGCTCGGCAAAGAACTCATGCTCTTCCTCAACACTGAAGTCCTCAGACATTTTTCTTTAATTGTTTCTTTCTTTGCACAGGTAAACAGCACATTTCTTCTTCTACGCTTGCATTATCAAGAGCAGACGCTGAATGCGCACTTTCATCTGGTTTGGTCTGCCGCGGTTTCCGTAGGCTCGTGAACTCGCAGGCGCGCGCTTTTAGGAAATCCTATACAGGTGAGTAAAAACTTTTTTTTCAATGAGTAAATAGTATAAATCAATATATGAAATATGAGAAATCTAATTTTTCCGACCACAGTTCACAGAAGCACATTGATGATTTTGTTTAAATTAGTACTAGGGTCTTCTATAAATGAACTAAAATCTCCCTTGTAAAGCCCAAAAAATGAAGGTGTATGGAACCACCTGGGGGGGTCCTATACAAAGCAAAAAATTTTAATCTAAATAAGTCATTTCCTTTCTTAAAATAATTTTTTATCTTGAATTGAGGAGCTAAGTGAGACACTTTGTCAATGGAACAAGATAAATTATATTTAACTTGAGAAAAAATAATTGCATTGTTTTACTTCAAGTGCATATTATCTAATAATATTTTAAGAGTAAAAATAATAATTCCACTGGCAAATCATCTCATTTACCTCCTCAAATTGAGATTAAATACACGAAATTTAAGAAAATTTTTACCTATTTCTAGATCGTTTTCACAGTGTAAGTTGTCATGTAAAGGATTGTGGGATTCTAAGCACAGAAATGTCTGATGCTCCCTATGATACATGAACTATGATAGAAAGCAAAGGCTACTTTTTCTTACACCTTACTTCCTATACCAGGACAATTTGGTCAGTATTTAGGGTGATTGATCACCTTCACTTCAAGCCAAGAGTCCTTAAAGTTTTTTTATATTCAGTGCCATGGATTCTCAGACATCAGGGGTTCTTAAAGCATCCATCAACTTTAGATGGATCCCTGCTCCAAATCTGAAATATTGAATTTCTACAGTCGTACTTAGCTTTACTAGAGGTCTTGTAAAGACTTGTGGGTGTGCATATATAAATATAAACTGGATGTAACTTGCTTTTCCATTCATCCTTCAATTAAGAGCTCTTACAGCCAGCCCAAGAAATTTTAAGACCCTTAATCTGAAGGATCAGATCTTTAGAGTGAATTAAGACCTCATGACATGCAGATACCTTAAACCAGGGCTTCTCATCCTTTAGTGTCAATCCCCACTTTAATGCGCACTGCTGTACACAACCCCCCCGAATCTGTATAGGTTGTATTTAAATAATCAGACGATCAGTTATGAACTAATTTCAGCTATTGCTGTCATTTTATTTTGAAACAGTTTTTTTACTCGAAGCAGCACAAAGAGATCCATCAGTTGGTTTTGTTATAATGTGAAGAAATTATACACATTTCTTTAGAATAAAACAGCTAAAGTATAAGTGGATTTTTTCACAAAACAAAACAAGTTTAATTTGAAAGATCCACGTTTCTGAGAGCTAAAACCTGGGGGGGATGGTGTTTTTCTGCAGCCATTTAATGCGACAGCTGGGTCTGCTTGTTTTAATAGCAGCTGTATTCTTCTTGGCTTTACGTTAGACTCGACCATACAGAGATCACTCAACTCTTGATGAGTCGTGATCAGACGACTAATGTGGGATATGAGAGAGAGAGCATGGCATCCTGCAGCTCTGATGACGGGTGATGCTTGGAGAAGATGGAGAATGGCTGAGATCCAGTGCAACTTTTTCCAGGGTGTCATCGCTCAGGAAATACTCATTTAAACTTTCAAGGAGAAGTAATAACACTTTATAATTGAACTTTATTGATCTCACATTGGAGAGATTTATCTCTGCATTCAACCCATCGCAGTGGACTGCCACTGTGTGGCGCCCAGGGAGCAGTGTGGGATTAAGGGTTTTGCTCAGGAACCCAGAGTGCAGGCTGTGGGGATCTAACAGGGTACTTGCAACCTCCTCAGAGGACAAGTGCACTGCTCTAACGCGCTAGTGTTAGCCTTCACCTTATCAGAGAATAAAAGATGCGTTTCATTTCTGGAACTCAATAGAAACCAATTAACTTTTACTCTTCAGTCATTTCTTTGTTTCCGACTCCGTTTGGTCAAACAGCCCCCCTCCCCCTATTCCCGTTGACACAACATACAAAAATCATCATGTTTGTAAAAACCGTTTATTTTCAAAACCACAAGGTACTAAGCAATACAAAACATTAAAAAAGTACAAAAAGGTTTGGTCAAAAATATCTGAGATGATGTTTATGGTTTACTAACGGCACTGTGGTTATGAGTCTGAATACAAAACTTGGTGCAATCAAAGAAGAAATTCACATTGTAGAAATTTGTTCGCAACCATCATTTCAGGTCCGGAGCATCAAGCTCCAGAAATCAGCACTTAGAGCAATGGGGAATGTGGCACACAGCTTCTCCAGTTAAAACTGAGGAGGAAAGGGGGCTGCAGAAGTAAACATCTCCTGGTCACAAACGTACCGAGTAAAAGAAGAAACAGACTGAAGCGACAGGAAAAAATTAAAATAAAAAAACAAACTGCTGCACTTTATCTTTCAAAAACATACCGAACGGCTTTCTAGAACACAGGTTCACTCAGAATCCAGCCACAGAGAGCAGAGACAGTAGTGAACGCCATTCTTGTACGACACAGAATCCTAACAACAATACTCAGAATACAAAAATAAAGAACCGTATTAAACATATAAAATAATACATGGCAATAATCAAGAGTAACATGGTTCTTCTTTTTCAAGCATTACCCAGGTTTGTTTATTCCTTTGGACAAAGGCACCTCAAGTGTTCCGGTTCCTGACATCAGGCCTGTACTGCGAAGGTTCGACCCATTTACCCTGACTGAGATCAGAGCAGCGCAATGGAAACGGCTCCGAGATAAGAAGGAAAGGACATGGAAGAATCAGCCAACAGCCAATGTTCCTTTAAGTTATTATTTTATAGGAATCCCCAAGTCCAAAATAGTGAGGTTAGATCGTTATATAAAGTATAAAAAGGTCTAAACTTTGTAAGTTTAAGAGTCAGGATTTATAGGGCTGGGAAGGAAGGAAACGAGGAGCCAAGGAGGGATGTAAACAGAGCCGAGATGAAGGAATGAAGGATAGAAAGAAGGAACACCAACAAGGAGGGAAAGGAAAGAAGAATACAAGGGAGAAAATCACAAGTAAACAAGTCGTAATTAACTAATACTGAAAATATGACACGTTCTGACTGAAGTCCACTTCCAGAGGGAAAGGGAACCCAAAACCTGAAAGAGGAAGGAGGGATCATTTGTTCTGGAATGAGATACAGAGGAGGAATGTTTCGAAGGAGGAACCACAGCTTCACAGTACAGGCCACAGGTTCCAGGTTTCGGAAATGTTGACCAGTTCAGGACCAACACTGACATTAAGCACAAAAGAAATGGGGAGACACTTGAGAGAAGCCCTTATGTGATGATCAACATCGTTTACAGTCTTCATTAGACGATAACTCCCAGTACCGCTCCTTGATTCCAGACGCCCTGTTCTACCTTTTGTTCGCTTCTACAATCACCCAATCATCTCAAATACAAAAGTTACAAAAACGACTGGCTTGGCCTTTCTTTAACAAAATTCCAGCTCAAGTCTAAGGCAAACTTGAGATTTACACAGACTCAAAAAAAAAAAAAAGACAGAAATGACAAGAAGTCTCATAATAAAATATCCATATAGTATCTAAAGTTAGCTGCCCTGAGGGAGATGCACATGTCAACCGTTACCATTTGTGTTGCATGATGGCAGTTAAAAAGCACTTTGGGTCTGCCGAGTGAAGTTCTGCTCATTGAGATGACGCCGCAGCAGGACGTAACACTGGAAGGCTTTGGCTCTTCATCCACCTCAAGCAAGGCAATCATTTCCCTTTTTGTCCTTTTGTTTTTTTAAGCACGCAGACCTGTGGAGACATGGATGGCAGATACGTCTTTGTCTGGATAAAAGCTACAGTGTAATCAGGTGGAGAAATCCGCTTACCTTTTTCGCAGGCGCTGCTCTGCTTCTCCTGGGCGAAGTTGAGTCGGTTCTGCTCCACGGCGGTGCCGTTGGACTCCGGGCTGCTGCTGCGAGGTGGGCTGCTCTCCTCGTTCTGGTACGCCAAATCCAGGTGCTGCTGGGCCAGTTTCAGGTGTCTGCGCATCCTTTCCACCTCGTCGCCGAAGGACTCGCGGCCCATGTCTCCCAGGTTATCCTGGAAAGCCATTTTTCCAGACGGGTCCTTCTTCAGAGCGGTGTGGTAGCCTGGTGGCGCCGAGGGTTGGCGGCTGATGGAGGATCTCTGGCTGGCCAAGGCGGAGTTGCGAGAGGCACGGGAACGTGGTCGCGGCCGGCAGAGGCAGTCCCGGATCCCGCTGATGCCGAGGTGAATTATCTCCAGCATCGTGAAGAGCAGGCACAAAGCGCTGACGCCGTACATGATGAGCAGGAAGATGGTTTTCTCAGTGGGACGCGACACAAAGCAATCCACCGTGTGAGGGCAGGGGGAGCGAGTGCAAATGTAGGAAGGCGCCACCTCCAGCCCGTAGAGGATGTACTGCCCAAACAGAAAGGAGACCTCGAAGACGGCGCGCGATAGCAGCTGGAAGATGTAGACCTTCATCAGCCCGTCTCTTTTGATGCGCCGCCGCCCGTCGTGCTTGTTTATGGGCTTCTTTGAAGATTCCTTCTCCTTATCAGGCTCAATCTCCTCCAGGATCATAGGATCCTCCTCGCCGTTATCCTCCGCCTCTTCATAGTCCCTGTTGGCCCCCCGATTGACGATGGGCATCCTCTTCCTGCCCTGGGGCCTGTAGTCGTCGTCTTCCATGCGGGCGATCTTGTGCATGGCAAAGCCGAGGTACATGATGGTCGGCGTGGTGATCATGATCACCTGGAACACCCAGAAGCGAATGTGCGAAAGAGGCGCGAACGCGTCGTAGCAAACGTTCTCACAACCAGGCTGTTGCGTGTTGCAGACAAATTTACTCTGTTCATCGTAGTAGATGGACTCTCCCCCGACCGCCGTCAGAACGATCCGGAAGACGATGAGCAATGTGAGCCAGATCTTTCCCACAAAGGTGGAATGATTGGAGATCTCATCCAGCAGACGAGTCAGGAAACTCCAGCTCATTTTGCTGCCAGACCGAGGAAGTTATCAGTCCTGTGCAGAGAGAGACGGAAAAATAAAACTGTTAGACTTTTATGATCATTGACAATATGAGGTAGAGTAGCATCACTTCAATGTGTTTCTATACAAATAAAAAATTGGTATTTTAACAGGTAAAATAAAGGAAATAACCAAATAAAATTCAGGCATAAGACTTTATATCAATCATCTTTTATACATCTCAAAAATCTATAAAAACAATTCAAGATTCAATTTAAATACAATATACAATCAAAACTATTTGGTCCTCTGATACTTTATGACATTTCATAGAATCATATTCTATTCTGATAGAATAGATAGGATTACTGCTGTGAACTGAGACTACAATAAGATAAGCATCCAAATATATTGCAATTTTGGCTAGCAAAACATTTTCCCCATCTAATAAAGTTACTTATTTAAGGTAGAAGAGATAAATTTACTCAAGCAAAGACATTGATGCAGTCTATTAATATCAGTCAAGTAAAAAGTACAATGTAGTAAAACTACTACTGAAAGTACACTTTGTTTGAAAACGTGTTCAGGTAGACGTAACCGAGTAAAAGTAACAACATTCACCTTTACTAATAGCTATTCTTTCCATCACCTTATAAGAAGTTTGAATATTTCAAGTTCAATTGCAAACCAAACTTGAATGTAGTAAATTTAACAGCCACAAGGTGGAGCCAAAGCATAAAAAACAACATGTCCCATTCTACAGCTATGATCAAGAACATGCTCTGGCATGTCAGAGGAAAAAAAAACTAAAATATCCACCTAAACCTCTAACAATAAAAGTAAACAATCCATCAGCTATAGTCACTAAAAGTCAAAGTATGAACTTCCAAGAAGTTTTCTTTGCTTTCTCCCCCCCCCCCCCCAAGAAGCTCCAGCCCTCAGGTTCACGTTCCAGACGACACACTGAGTGGGAGACAGTTGTGCAATTCTTGCCCTCATCTCACAAAAACAGTTGATGACTCCTCACACACAAACACAGAGTCACATCCAGATGCTGCTGGTTGTAGTTTAATGGTCTCGCAATGAATAAAAAGCTCCTGTGGTTTCACAACATCCACCCAACCTCAACTCCTGTTCAGTCTACAAACAATGTAGCTTAGCACAAACGGCTATGGACTTTAGTTCATAGACTGCTGCTAAAAAGACTTCTGGAAGCAAAACATCTTGAAAGGGTTTAGATTTTTTTTTAAACCATAAAATATTTTAGTCAATATTATTTTAAAAAAGTCAGCCACTGATGTTTAGCTCTCCTGTCAACAACCATGATCCCCCGTAACAACAGAAGTCATGTTCAGACACGAAACATTATCTATCAAGCACCAACATAACAGCCTTGTATCAAAATTATACCCATGCTTTTATGTTGAATCTAGACAGAACACCTAATATGCTTTACTTAAACATTTCTAGATCGACACACAAGTGTATACTAGAGATGTCCCGATCCAGGTTTTTGCACTTCCGATCCGATACCGATATTGTTTTTGGACTTCCGATCCGATACTGATACTGGCCGATACCAGCCTATCCGAGCATGTATTTAAGTTTAAGTTAAAGTATTTAGCCTTAGTTGTAAGACTCATGTTGAAAAGGGTTTTAGTACTCTTGATAACATCTAGCCAGCTAAATTAGGTGAGATTGAATAAAACACAATGCTTGGTAACAACAAACCTACCTGTTTATTAAGAGATAAACACAAACTGGACAAAATTACGAATAGCAATCTGAAATTGCACAGTGAACAGTAAAACCGTAAACAGTTAAAGGTGCTATATTACTGTAAGTTTTAATAAAAATGCAAAACAGGGGAACACTGGCGCAAAATAGTGGAATGGATCGTTTCAATCGGCGAAACTGGAAAATACGGACCGGATTTTTTTTTTTTTAAACTGGATCGGCAGTCTGGATCGGCATTTTACATGCTTTGCCGATACACATTTTTTTGCCAATATCGGCGTCCCGATCCGATACGTGGATCGGATCGGGACAAGCCTAGTGTATACTGGTGAAGATTCTCAGTCAGGAAAGAAAAATACTTTGTTTCCAATTTCAAAGACGTTTCGCTTCCCATTCAGGAAGCTTTTTTAATCCAAAATGTCAGAAATAGTGTTGAGTCCGCCCCATTGGATGGGGCCATGTTTGGGTTCTTTGTAACCCTGAAATCACTGACCGCCCCGCCCTGCTCCAGACCTCCTGCGCAAAGCAAACCTACAGCCTCCGCCTTTCCTCCCATCTTCCCTCGCTCCTTATTCCTTTGAGCTTGAGAGCATGCACTAAATTATTATTAAAATTCATAGAAGCAAAACATATAGAAATATCCACTTAATTTAATGACCAAAAAAAAAAAACATTATCATCCAGCTTATGTGCAGTTTCTGCAAAATATTTTATTGTTGTGGATTTTTCTAACAGGGATAACAAGGATCATACAAAATTGGTTTGTATGAACTATGTTTGTTCTCCACTTCCAAACTCAGCATCTCTTCATCCATGCCTGCCATAAAAGTTTCTTTTGACTCGATTTGATTAAACTTTTAAATCTCTCAGTATAAAATAAATATTTTGATCAGGATGAGAAATCTGTTTCCTGGTATGTTAAAGAACCGACAGTTTGCATCCAATCATTTAATTCAACTGCCTTAGTTTTTTGGAATATATAAGAATTATGCTCCAATTTGTAGTTGCCAATCCATCGTTTTTAATTTTAATTTGTCAAACCGGATCTCCTCAACGTTGTTTTTTCTGTTTGGCGGGAGTATTTGGAATCTGGGGTTTATCCTGCAATACCCCATGTTGGTCTATATCACACGTGGGACGCACGAGCGACAAATTTAGGATGGAGGAAAACATGTTTTTAGCTAGCATCCTGTTAAAAAAAAAAAAAGCAAAAAAAAAAAGAAAACCTAATTTTTAATTTTCGATTCATAGAAGATTGATTCATGTATACTTAAAGACCATAATGGTCCATTAATGACAATTACTTTAATAATTTTCCGATGAATGTTAAGATAATTCTGATAAATATGTTGAAAGCATCTGATTTAGATAACTGCTTAAAAAACAAAAAACAATCCCAGTCAAAATCGGACTGGGAAGAATCCTTTCTACATTTTGAGATTTGGAACGGAAACGATTCGAAAGCCGAGTCTATAACTGATCTTTAAAATACTTTAAATGCCTTTCCTTCTAACATTGACCTGATAGTTCCTTTTCTAGCCGTCTTCCAATCAGGGCTTAAATTCGGCTTAATGAGTCGACCCAACACACAGATTTCAGAGCATGGATGCATGGAAAAGGAGGAGGGCAGCCGTTCCAGGCCGACCTTCCAACATGAACCTGATCCTAAGGCTGAATATAACCAATGAATAGAAAGAAACGCTCCAGCTTAAGTTACAGATTTATAGAGAAACTACTAACTTAATCTGTTTAACAATGGGCCTCTTTACATTTGAAGAGGTTTTTCTTTCCACAACAAACTCCCTAAACGCAAACAAGGGAAAGAAAAACCTGCAGACCAGTTTAACCAGCATCCATACAGGAAACCTGATCATCATCTGCTGGTTTCATTCGTTTCTGGGCGTTTCTTCTCTTTAAAATCATCTTTGACTCATCAACACCCTGCATGCCAACAGTGGTGCCCTAACAACAGACTGGGATGGTCCCACATCCATTTAAACACGAATGTACCAAAGACTACATCAGTGTTTAAAGCTCATGGAAACCTAAACTATAAATAAATGATAGTCCTCTTCTCCCAACACTGTAAAAATATCAAGACGGCTTGCTTTCCCTGCAAAGTGAGGCCAGTATTAAAGAGCAGGCGACTCCACTTGGTTGGTCCATGCCTCCATTAGTTATCTAAATATTTACAACTTGTTACACGTGATTGGAAACAATTGTTTCCCAGTTATGCTACTATAATCAGGTACATCATCATCATCATACATAGAAACATTTGGAAAACAAGGTCAAAGTCACAGGTTGAAACGGCAGCAGTATCAAACAGGACCAGGAATGGGCCAATAACTCAGATGCAAGAGGAGATGCAGATCCAACAAGTTAATTCAGTCGGATGACCAAGACCCCAATGTTACATAGAAAGCCTCCCCCAAAACAAAACAATGAAATAAAAAAGAAAAAGAGTCTAGCCCTGTATAAAAAAAAAACCCTACTTATTCTGTAATCAGCATCACTCGTAACTCTTTAGGCATCATTGTGGCCAAACATGAGGCTGCTGAAGTGATTTAATAAACAAAATTAGCCAACTCTTAACTATGTTTCACAATGTTTCTGCTGAGCAGAAATGCATTAACACCTTTAATAAACTTAGACTGTAATCTAATCCAAACACACTTTATAAAAACTCCCAGCTTCTCTGTTCTGAGTTTGATTATTTGGGCGTTCCTCCTGCAAACATTACAAATAAAACAGTGTGTTGATGAATGTTAAGCAATTTTTTAGAGCCAATTTTCCTGTTTATCTTTGAGATCACTGTTCTACAGGTACACTGGGAAAAATAAAAATATAGATAAGTCATTTTTTCTTAAAATAAGTGAATTTGTTCTTGGATTGAGGAGGTAAACGAGACATCTTGCCAATGGAACAAGACAATTTACACTTAAGAAAACAATTGCATTGTCTTATTTCAAGTGCATGTTATCTGGTTATCTTATTTTAAGAATAAAAATAGGGATGCATGATATTGGGATTTTTGCCGATATCCGATATGCCAATATTTTAAAACTCATGTAGCCGATAACCGATATCGATACCGATGTTAAAGCTGGACAAAAATAAGTAGTCATTGAAAATAGCAGTTTTGTTATCCATTTCTGACACTTTGAAAAATAATATACTCAAATATATTTTCATATGCTGATATCAAATAGATTTTTAAAAACGCGGTATCGATCTATTTTACTTTCGAAATCTCGTGAAATTTAATCGTTCTGTTACAAACTCTATATTTTGCAAATTCTTGTGAGATTTTGTTAGTAAAATAGATCGATACCGCGTCAATATATCAAGATATAAAAATATGGCAACATTTCAGGAATTTTCGGGGGATTTCGTAGCATAACGATGACATATAGCAATATTTCATTAGTAAAAGAGATTGATATGGTGTTTTTAAATGGCAATATATCAGCATATGAAGATATTGTGATATTTTAATGTATCAATATTTGTTCCCTCGTCTTTAGAAGTTTTTAAGTCTGTAAAAAATAGGTTTTTGAGGAAGAAGAAGAAGTATTTACTAATTTACTAATTCCCTTGGCAAACCATCTTATTTACCTAATCAAATTAAGGGTAAATACACTTAATTTATAATTTTTTTTTTTTTTTTTTTTTTTTTTTTTTTTTTTTTTACACTTCTAGATCATTTTTCCAGTGTATGTAGCATCCTGCTTTGAAACATTTGATTCTGGAATGCATTTTATTTTAAAACAAACAATTTCTCTCTTTAAACCATGGGGTTCCACAGGCTTTTGTTCTCGACTTCAATTTGTTTTTTTGCTTGTTCTTTATAACATTGAATGAAATCTCATATCTAAGCCGAATACGTTTTAAATACATTTGACCTCCAGTCATCTTTGCCTGCTTTTCTAAAACCGGGAATACACTGTGCGATTTTTTGCCCTTTTCAGGCCAATGCTGGGGCTGACTTTCAGACCGATCGCGAGTCCTTGTTTCATGCAGTGTAGACGGGGTAACGACGGGCAATCAGCCCCTCACAACCACCTCCTGATCAGGAATTATAAGGTCGGTGTCATAAAGTGTTCGTGGACAAATCCTGCTGTTGAAGTGGAGCTACGAGCCGATTTACCAAAACCTCTAGAACTATGCATGAGCAAACAAGAAAGTTCGTCTTCCAGATTTATGTGTCGTACCTGTGCCATCTCTCGGTGCAGAGCCTGGCGTGGTTTATAGACGTGCAGTGTGAGCAGGTAGAACGCATCAAAGCATCTGGTCGCACAGTGTGAGAACATATTGCGAACTTTTAAACCCTGTGGTTTCATCGTACACTTTGAGCTGTAACCGAGTAGAACGATTGAAAACATCGCAATGTATGCCCGGCTTAAGGCATTTGAAACATTTCAATCCCATTAGGTGAAAATCTTTCATACCTAAATGATGAAATACATTTAAAAAACAACTAAATGTTTTTATCTGTAGCCCAGGCAACTCAACCCCCTTAGATTTTACTGACCACTGGGTCTTAAAACATTTCACCCACTAACTTTTGAACCATACCAGAGGAATGCTGGAATGTTGGCTCCCTTTGCTTTTTTATTTAAGGAACTTTGGGAAACTGAGCTTCAGCTGGAAATCTCATCCACTATTGGCAACAGTTATTCCTTTTTACTCGTTTCAGTGAAATCATCTCCAGCTGGTCCAAAGCGCAGCTGCTAAAGCTTTTACCCCGTCCTCCAGGCACTCCTAAGTTGCACCTTTGTTGATCTTGCTTCATTGCATTCCTGTTGCATAAAAACCAGACAAAAGTTCCTGCCATCTTAAAATGGCAGAACCTTTTAAACTGAGACCAACTGATGGGGAACTGCTGTTTATTTCCAACTAGAGCTAAAAATGTCAGAACCTTTGATGTTCTGAACACATAATCTGAAACCATTCAACCCTCTTCTGTTACTTTTCTATCTGTTGGTTCTGAACTTTTAAATCTTAAAACTGAGTCTGATGCTGAAGTGAGTTCAAGTTTTGCTTAAAACCTTTTTTATAGAAAGGATAGTGGTGCAGGTTTGTTTCCAACAATATTAAATTTTTTGCACCATGTTTTTCTCCTCCCACACAGCTTAAATTTGATCACTGCTGCGCTTTAATGGAAATGTCATGCGAGCTGCACAAAATGTAATTTCGTTTTATACACAGAGAGTCTATAAAATGCCAATTAAAGGATGTATAAGTTTTGCATAACTCCATATTTATCAGAACATTTCACATCTTCTTTAAACAGATAAATTCCTTCAAGACCAGTTATGCTCACTGGATTATTTTGGGCAGAATATGTTGGATATTTGGCAGCATTTAGTCTGTTTCCAAACTGTGGAGGTTATTTTATTTGCTGCAGAACAGAGAAGCTTTGTGGCCCCAACATCTGGGAGAAGGGTTAAAGTTGATCCTCATATTTCCCCTCCCTCAGCCTTAAAAAAAAAAGAAAGAAAGAAGGGGGGGCTAAAGGAGGAAAAAGCTTTGAGAAAAAAAATAAATCTAAACTAAAGCTGCATATTTTAAAATTAATCTTCCTGTGTAGCCCAGAACCAATCCGCGCTGAGAAAGTCTCCAAATAACCATGAAGCAGCAGAACGTGAACTGCAAACCAACTAATCCCATTTGCAGGGAATGCGGAGAAAAAAAGGAAAAAAAAAAATCCTCCGCGTGGCAAACGACGTCACGGCGGAACCACGCAGGATGCGTAGAGACACCGGTGGGTCATCAATCTACCTGATTAACAAAAAGGACAAACTTTTAAAAAAGCAAAAGGTGTAAAAATAGAATAAACCTGGAGAGGAAGGAGGAAACGGAAGAGGAAAGATCAAAAGGCTCCTTGTGTAATAATTATATAATCGCATAAACATCAATGTGCGCCAAACATCCACGCGCTCATCCAACTCTGCGCATTTGCTGCAAACACGCCGCTAAATTGCGCTGCAGCTTTTAATTAGCGCCATCTCCCATCAGTTTGTGCGCCTAAACTCAACTTGGGGTTTAACCATTAATCGCTTCTAATCACTTTTTCCTTCATAAATGTGTTTTGATTTTTTACATATATAAATATATTAAAAACACACAATAAAAACTAAATACAGGATCGTTTTTTTCTACATATATACAAACATATATATAAAGAAAGGAGCTGAGCAGTGATGCTGCCGCCTCACTCTGTTGGTGGGATTTATGATTTTTTTTTTCTCTGACTTACCTTCAAAATGTCTCCTGGAATCCTGGAAGTTGTCTTCAGTTTTGGGCCCTTTCTATAAATATGAGGCCCTTCAGTTGTTTTCTCCTTTTTTCCTCTCTCTCCCTTGGTTTTGAGGAGACGCTGCCTCTCCAGTGGTGCTGCTTGAACTGCTGGGCGAGGACAAAGAATATTCCCAAATCCTCCTTTTCTCCTCCCACTCTCAGCCCTGCTCCCACCCCCTTGTCTGCGCAGTCGATCAACAGCCAGCAAAGAGGCTGCAGCTTTTCCTGATGCAATCTTCCCTTGATTGGGAACCCTCACCCCTTACATGTTATTCTCTGCAAATCCCATGTTATAGCATGAGTTTTTCATGAATTATATACTGTATGCTTAAAATTATATATATATTTTTTATTATTCCTGTGAAAGAAAATCCTATTTGCTGCAGACTGTAACCTTAAACCATGTCTCCTCCTGCCAACGTTTCTCAGAATGAAAACATCTGAGGAACAAAAGCTGCAAACAGGTCTTTAAATCTTTGTGTTTTTTTTGGATTGTAAAGAAGAGTCTGCAGCTCTTCCTGTCCACATTTTTTCAGCAGTCGTTGCCAAATCCCTGACTAATGTCACACTTTCTCCAGTGAAAGAAATACATGGACTTCTTGAGCCCCCCCAGCCCCCCAGACTTGTCGCATCTACATGCTACTGATCCTGCTGTAGCCTACTGTTGAAGAGGTTACTCAAGTTCAGTCCTAAAGAGCTATTATCCCTGCTCCAACACACCTGAATGAGATTCAATTCAATTCAGTTTATTTCTATAGCGCCAATTCACAACACGTGTCATCTCAAGGAACTGTACAGTTCAACCAGATCATACAGTCAGTTTTCTATCTAAAGGAAAACATGTTGGTTGCATCGACTTATTGACTTGAAGGCAATCCCTTGCACTAAGCATGCTTGTAGCGACAGTAGAGAGCAAAAACTCCCTTTTAACAGGAAGAAACATCCAGCAGAACCAGGCTCAGTGTGAGCGACCATCTGCTGAGGCCGACTGGGGTTCCAGGAGGAGGAAGCTGACGTGCAGAAAAGAGGCAGAGATACAAAAGGCAACTATAAACCAGCTCCACGGGCAGCCCAGTCCAGGAGACACACATGCTTGTAGCGACAGTGGAGAGGAAAAATTCCCTTTAAACAGAAAGAAACCTCCAGCAGAACCAGGCTCAGTGTGAAATGATCTGTAAATTGAGTGCAGTTGTTTTGGGAAGATCTCAGGGAACAAAGTTCATCATGATGATGACCAAAGAAACCAGCAGACAAGACAGGAAAACATTGTTTACAAGTTTAAAGCAGGGATGCGTAAAGGCAACATGTTCCACATTGCTCTATTTAAACAGTTATGTGAAGACGAAAAACCTGTAGCATAACTCTCTGGCTAGTTAATGAAAGCATGAACAAAAAAAGGCAAGAGGCTGTTCAAATTCTAAAACTTAGGTGGATTAGGTACTCTGCAAATGCTGATTTCTTCTCCAAATAAGTTTGTTTGCCTGTAATTTAAGCAGGTAAATAAAAGGATCTGCCAATGAACTGAGAATTTTTGCCCTTAAAATAATATAATAAGATATTTAGATTAACTAGTGGGTTAGAGCAGTGCGCTTGTGCTCTGAGAAGGACGCAATTACTCGGTTCGATCCCCACAGCCTGCACTCTGGGCTCCTGAGCAAGACCCTTAACCCCACACTGCTCCCCGGGCGCCACACAGTGGCAAACCACTGCTCTGCATGGGGATGGGTTAAATGCAGAGGTGAATTCCTCCAATCTAAGATCAATTAAGTTCAAAATGCTCTTGAAATAATAAAACAGTTGGTTTTTCGTATTCTAAATGCAAATCATCTTATTTCATTGGCATAGTGTCTAAATGAGTCAATCCAGGGAAAATGCTGTTTATTTCTAGAAAAAATTATTTATTTGGATTTCATTTTTTTCAGTGAATCTGTTCACAGCTATTAAACTGCAAAAAAAGATCCATTAAACCAGTCTTCCAATCTTATATCTAGACAAACCTTTTATCTTGTCTTGAGATTTATAAACTAATCAAGAGCTGATTCTGTTAGATTTTTTTTTTCTCTTTTTGAGAAAATACTAGTAATAAATTCAATAATCCGCCACTGCAGTAAGATGATCTAAGATTGTAAGACTTGTTTAGATAGATTCTTTTTGTAGTGTAGTTATGCACTCCACAAACCTGCCCTTTATGGGAGATTTGCATTAAATCTTCTGCTTGCGGATAGTTAAAAGTCATGTAGGGGATAGCAGATGGAGAAAGGTGAAGAAAATTGAACTTTCTTAGACGATTTCATGAAATGTTGGAAATGATGTAAACTATCATTGCATTTCAGCATCAACACACCAACAGCGCTGGAACAAGATGGTGGCAGCATCAGGGGATACTTTTATTCTGGGAATTTTGGTAGAAAGTTAAAAAGTTATGGAAACATTTATGGAGCAAAATACAGAATAATCTAAAATCCATAATCCAGAATAACATGAAATGATATGAAAAAATAAGATTGTTCAAAGCAGGTAGGGGCTCACAGCAAAAGGCCTGCTGCTGTGTTTCTCTATACACAATCAACTAATTAAACTTGCAATTATTTGGCTAGTGTTTACAGTTTGCAGTACAGCAGTACTTTTGCAACATTTGCTCTACCTGTAAAAAATAATTAGGAAGCCAGCTGATGCCGCATTTTCTCTGAAGGTGACTCAAATTGAGGCACACATATTAAAACACTGCAAATGCGTAGCCTTCACCCACAAACGGTCACATTTAATCTCCAGATATCATGTAATGAAAAGCCTTTGTTACTTACTAACCTATACATACAAATACACACACAATACCAATCAGTTTTTCACCCATTTGTTAAATCAGAGCTCTGCTCTACTGTCCTGGGTAGAGGCTGTTAATGCTGAAAGCAGACAAAGGGAAGCAGTTATTGTTTAATATCTGCTGCAAACAGGAGGTCAGTGAAGGAATGCATTGCCCCTCCCCCTCCTCAGGGTGCAGCCACAGCTCCATTGTGAAGCAGAAGCATGCTTTCATTCATGGGGTGTAATCTGGGGTGTCCCTGTAAACCACTGTCTAGGGTTAGGGCGAAAGAGAAAGAAGAAGTCCAGACCGAGCCACCTCAGCATGTGGTTCCTGCAGACCAGAAGCTGAAAAAAGCTGTTTTTTCCATAGACATTTTTTTTTTCTGGAAGTGGAGTTTGAACATGCATATTAATGTTACATTGCTCTCATTGTGAATTATGTTTATCAGCCTTGCAGACATTAAAGGCTGATGGAAACACTGATATAGTCTGCTGATTTTTTTGTTGTTGTCTGTTTTGCCAGTGTGGCTCTGGAAATGAGTGTCCTCCAGTTAAGTAATATCCCTACAGATTTCTCTAACAAACTGACCATTGTGACTGTAAACATATGGTTTCAATTGATACTTGTACATGAATCTTTATTGAAAATTATTTTGGGAGTAAAATGGTATACAACTGACACAGAGACAAATGGAGGTAAATAAAGAGGGGACAGGTGTGTGTAGTTGTATAGAAATATACATATTTCTACACAAATAGTTCCCAGGTGAAAGTTCCAGTTGTCGAGGGCTGTAATAGGCCAGTGCCCATAGTCGCCGGCATTTTTTAAATTCAGGGAGGTATACTGTAGCTGCAGCTTAGTATTTAGTATTAGCATGTATCAGTGAATAACTGGAACCTCCTTGTTACGTATGCATGGGAATACTCATGTATAAAGGATTTACAAAATTTCTTCAGAAGGAAAATGTGCTTAACCCCTAGAACCCTACGGACCCACCGGTGGGTCCAGCTGCTAGGTGACCTCGTAATTTTAACAAACCCCCAGTATTGATGTAAAAAACACATTTGGCACAGTTTGGTGACATTTTTGGATAAATGTGCCAAAATGGCCTCTCCGCCTAAGAAATTTCTCACTAATACCATTCTAAAATAAATATGATTCATCTGATTGAGTCCAAATTTGGTATATTATTACACAACATTTAGATTTAAAAGTCTGTACTACTTTTTTGTGCTATAAATAATATTTTGGTAGTGTTTTGCAATGTTTATTTCAAAGAAAATTTTGGCGAGGTTCAAAAAATGCAAAATATTTTGTATTTTGTCCCTAATATTTCATTCAGGGTCAAAGCTACAATGGTGCTGACACAAGAAAACCATTCTATGACATCTTACCTTTACAGACGTACCAAAAGTTTTTTCTTAAATCTAATAGCTGTGAGGCTATAAGTGATTTACTTTTGTGTCTTTTTGTCAGGCAGAAATTTATTTATACCCCCTTAGGGTGTAAGAGGTTAAAAGCAGGTGTGGGTGGCCCCAGACTCGCTCTACAGGGCCCTGGACCAATAAAAAGGCAACGCCAGCCCCGGATATCCAGAGGCACCCCAGATCAGTGGGACACAAGGAGACCAGACACAGGGATTACCGCACTCACTAGAGAAGGGCAGATGAGAGCAAAGAGAGCCCGACCCCCAAGGGGGCAAACCCCAACAGGGCCCAGTCTTTAAGGGGCCAAACCCCAAAGGGCATAATACTAAGGTGCCACAGGGCCATATCAGTGAGACTATGGCGAACGATCACGCCCAAGGTGGACCCGAATGAGAGCCCTGAGTTCTGGGGGTGCACCACCTATTAGTGGGGACCCCAAAGGGCCAGGAGGCCCAGGCCTGGCCTGGCAGCCACTATGAATGAGACAGCGTCCAATGAACTACCCAACCCTGCAACTAGAGAAACATCAGCGCTCCAGCAGATTTAGGCACCTGTCACTGACGGGGAGCATAAGAAGGGGCATTCGCTGCTCTTACTTGGGGCCTAGGGTGTTCAGTAGGTGGGGCAGGGGAGGCAAAGACCCAACCTGACGAGAAGACAAAGAAAAAAATCTTCACATGTATCCAGTCACATTTATGCAATCCCACCCTTAAACTCACCCTTGCACCATGTCTCACCCACAATGTTTACAGTTTGATCACTACTGCACTTTATTGTTCCAAAAAGTTAAACAAAGTCCACTGGACTTTGTTTCCAGGTTTGAAGACATTTAGCTTCCCATTCAGGAAATTCAAAATATCAAGAATAGCGATGAGTTCCAGGT